GAAGTTTGAGTCGTTTAATACTCTTAATTAGCACGAAAGATCAGATATTTTGCACCAAGTTAGGTTTTTTTCTTGTGGAATTCTACTTATGCAAAGAAAACAGGATTTAGATTTGTCGTTACATTACAATTTTATCCAAAATTTTCAAATGATTATCTCAAAAAGATTTCTGCGATGAAAAGCTTGCATAATGAACACTTTTGTTTATTCAAATTTTTCAATTCATGTGGAACGTGGCATAATAATCTTATAGGTTTATAAATTATTTAAGTAAAACGGATTTCCGTGTTTGATAATGTATCAAAACACGCGAGAGAACACGCCTAGAAGCGTGGATTGTGTGGATTTTGTTCACAAGAAAAAATTTATCGTGTGAATAGCAGTATTTCCACTTTATTTAAACGTTTCTAATTAATCTCTTGCATCCTTGTCAACAAGAAAATATCGTATCTTCATACGCAACAATATTTCTTTATGACATTTCTTTTTATGTGTTATTTCAAAAGTATGTTAACACTTGAATGCCTTTCGGCTTGGTCATTTCACAGCTCCGCCATCTGATTGGATCATTTTATTAAGAGCTGTCAGTGTTGCTAGGCAACACTAGCACTTGAATGGCTTGAGTTGCGTTGTAAACCTGGCCGCACTTAAACGGCTTTACAACCGGTGGTTCCCTTGGTGAATTTGCTGATTTTGAGCTTGATTTTTGCTGTTGTCCAGAAACTGATTCTGAACTTTGTTCCTTTTCTAAATCGTTTTCTTTATGTTCCACTTTTGCAGTTTCCTCTACTCCAGGCCTCTCGTACGACTTCAGTCGCACATCCGGAAGTGGCAAATACCCTCCAGTCTGGGGTATGACGTCTAACGTGACGTCACAAGTTGCCATGAAAACAGTTGGCATAGCAACGACGCCACTATTTTTCCCAGAAATCATCCATARATTGGTATCAACATCGATTTCGTAGAGCAAATCACATTTCTGAGAGGATGTAGAGGTTTGATCTGCTTTTGATAAGTTAACGATCTTTACGTTCAGTTTACATGCTGAACCTTGGTGTAATTTGTGGTCTATTCCTGGAGCTTCTATAGCTGAATGGATGGTATAAAGGGTCTGTTGATAAATACAAATCATTGATTATCAAGTTATCAATAAAACAAAAGCCAACACCATAAAACAAGCCTTCAAACTCCATCTAGTATGAGAGTAATAACATAGCAAATGCGGCCAGATACTGCTGTAAGATGGTAAATACACTTTGTATGGAGTCGAACTTTCGCTGTTCTACAGCATCATCAGATTACTGTCCTACTAACATACTGC